TGGAAAATTTGAAACGTGGGGGAAAGTGTAAGAGCCAAATTTTGTACCGTGTCCAGGTTTCTGTTTGAAATTTCCTCGGTTTTTCTTTGAAAAATCAAAAATTGAAAAGGTTAATTTTAAGTATTTTGAGATAAGTGTGATGTTTTTTTTAGTGTATCAATAAAGGAAATGGTTTTTGGAATTTTTCTGAGAAGTTGTCTTTTTTATGCACTAATACAATATTATGAACCGTAAATTAGGAACTTACAGGGGTAGAATCGTGGTAAAGACCATTCTGCTTTTTTGCTTGTCTGTTCATTGTTTACCCCGGAATGATTAAACCCCTTCGGTTAAGGTCTACAGTTGAATCAGATTGGTCTTCAAGTTATGACTCGCACACTGTGGTTGACTGGTTAGTGTATATTAATCGGCTCACCGCTAATCAAAATAAACAAAAATGTCTCGTTTCTTTTAGAACCTGAATTTAGCTGTCGTTAGGTCAAAGATTTAGTTTAAATATTTTACTTTGCTTATTTTCAGATGTTTTCACTGGGTGAAAATGACAATGATCAGGTTTTGCTGGTTAATGCGCCCTTAAATACATGTTTTATTTCTTGTCTGGGAAGTTTACTATTGCCCTTTATTTAATCCTGTATTTGAACTTTGATCCGTTTGAAATTTCATTCAAAGCTTTACAATCAATTAAATTTGTGATCAGTCTAGGATTGCAGAGATTAGAGGTGCTTGCTTGATTGAAGATTTAATTTAGAATTGACTTTTGAAGAGTAGTGTGATCTAACACAATTTGATAGCTCAGAACCTAGCAAATAAGTTGAATAGGGTAATAGTACAAGGGGGTCTTCACTGATATGTCAGTCTGACTCGATGAAATTGACCCTTGATCTTTGATCACCTTAGAACTGCTTGAAAGTTGAGTTCTGTCACTTTCTTTACTTGAAAAGAGATTAACTAATTGGGAAGATTTATGTGTATTCAGATAGATCAATTGTTTTTCCCTTCTCACCAACAGTTGGTTTCTACCATTTTTTTCATCTCACATCATTTTGCAAGCGGAGACAATATTTGCAATAGGAGACAATATTTATTAGATGCCTAATCCTTTTTCTGTTCGACTTTTTTGAACTCCATTACATTAGCAATTTACTTCCTATAGAAGCTAGTAAAAAAAATATCCACCCCTATAAAAGAAGAATTGTGTCTAGTACATTTCCCCACTTTCGCAGTTTTGAGCGCTAGGTATTGATTGAGAATAAAATATGAAGGTTATGTCTAGTCGAATCTCTTTCAGTTTCATAGTTTTGTCTTTTGTTGAATGAAAATGAAAACGTACCATCCTTCAGTATTTATGTCATCAGTCGGCCGTTAGTTCTTTTTTCAATTCCTTTGTTGCCAATTTCGTGTCTATTCTGTTGTATCTTCTTACGTCAATGCCGTACGACTATAACATTTTGGTTTTCAATCCACTGAGACAAACTAAACATCCTTTAACAAGTTTAAATTCAAACCGTGTCCTCTGTTGTGTAGGTTCAAAGTGGTTGCCATCGTTATCCTTCAGTGCTCTCTCTTTTTGCCTCATTTCTATCTTGAATCTTGTCTGAAAGAAGAAGACAGCCTTTTCCTTCCTTGTACTTTGCCAATTGACTAGATTGTGTTGTGGATTACTTTTTATTGCTTGAATTAAAATTGCAGCCATGTATTTGAAACAGGCTATTCGAAAATTATTGTTTTTTTTTCCTATTCCCAAGTGCTCCGATATTCGAAGAATGTCACAGAACATTTTTGCTCGATGTGGTGTTTTCTATTTATAAACGTCAACTCTCTTATTAAAATAGCTGCTGAAGAACTTTATTTGCAGCTAAAAAAGTTATTTCATCTGTGGTCGTTTTTCGTAAAAATATGGGGTTTACAAATGGCGAATTTGGGCAATTTGTTATAATTAGAATGCGCCATACTAAGGCGCAGGCGGCAAATGAACCCTGCTTGGGAATAGTTCCAAAATAGCTTGAGGCAAGCAAATTTTGTTAATTAATGTGTTACTAGAGGCAAAATATATGAATTCGTTACGCATATTCTGTCCTTTTTTTAATAAAAACTTAAAACCTAATTTTGCCGAAGCTTCGTTAAACGGTAATCAGAGCATTGAGACTGATACGAGCAGCATTATCATGAAATTTTTCGACTTACTTTAGAACTATAAGTTGTATTATAGACCGATTTCAAGTAAGTAGAAATAGATAAAATTATCGGTCGACACCATAGTACATAAAAGTGAAATAAGTTAATCTAAAATTTCATAGAGTTTCTTTTATATTGTAATAAAGCTACCTCCATGTGGTGCAGAACTTTGGCAATGATCAATGATGACTTCGACCATTTTCAGCAAGTTGAAAAGAAAAATGTCCTAGGGCGGATCAGAAGAAAAAAAGATTGATCTACTGGTCTTTATTTAAAAAATTGCTTTATTTAGGCTATTTATTGTTTTTGAAGCTTCTTTCAGCCCCATCAACAATTTTTTAAGAGTCGATGAACGTAGTCAAGACTTTTATATAGGTCGCGATGATTTTTTTATCTTTTTTTTTTCAGGAAAAGTCTTTAAGTTTGTTCCGTCTAAATTTTTTTTTTCGCGGCTTGACTTTTGAGTTCTTTTTAGTTCAGTTCATTTTCTTTGTTAAAACGAGGGCAAACTCACTATGAAAGAGCAAAGATTCAAAGGTCTCGAAACAGGTGATCGTTTTCTAATTTTGACAATGGAAATTTATCAGATTTCCCAGCGAAATAAAAGTTATACCTATTGATCCAATTTTCTCAAATTGGGTTAATTTTATCAAAAAGTTTTAAGCGTAAATTGTTCTACAAATGCAAAGAGCTGTATGGCTACCCTACGTTTTCTTCGGAAATCAAAAGTCGAAGCTTTTTCAAAAAACAAGTCAGTTTTTTTTTCCAGTTTCCTTGGCTTCATTACTCTTTTCCGACTGTCAGTTGGCTATGTTTTGAAGTTTTTGGTTCCCAAAAGGGAGCTAAAAAACTCCAGAAACGGATTTTACTTGCCTAAAATAAAGTTTTTAGGGCTTAAATTAAGCATAGTTAAGATGTTGTAAGACTGATGGCTCGCTTTATTCGCTCGAATTAGGACAAAAAATCAAAAATTTTGAACCGGTTTTTCGACACAGAAAATTTATTGGAAGTTTGTTTAATGTCGATCGAATCTCGACTAAAAGTGCTTTTATATGATATAACATTCAACTCTCTCCGATGAGTTTTTGTGGTAGATGATTTTGCGACCGAAAAAAAAAATAAACAAAATGAAAAATAATTTATAACTGGAACTGGGGTCAAATACTTCTGTGATAGTTCCGCAAAAATTTGTCCGGTTTTCTTTTTCGTACCTAGTGACGGGTATACAGGACAAACTCAACATACCAAAAATGTACTTAGCAAATATTCTCCCACCCCACACCCCCCATGTTGCTATAGCGACGGCCGATAGTTAACAAGATCCAAATCACCTTTTTAATTGTGCTAGGAACGCGCTTTAATTGTGCTAGGAACGCGCTTTGTGCGCTGCTAAATGCGCTTTATATTTAAAATGACCTTGCTGGTCGTCCTAACTTTGATTTGAAAATCCGATCGGCATGTTCCCACAAAATAAATCCGGTCGGCACAAGCCGAAATAGTAAGAATTTCGCAATCTTTATGGTATAAATATGATCTTGAACAAATAATATTTTTTTGGGCTAACTTTGATGTACAATTGAATCTAGTTGTGACGGAAAAAGTCTGATCTGATCTGATTTTTTCAAGGGCGATACCCTTTTGAAACTTCGCATTTGTGCTTTGCATTTGAAGAAGCTCACAAAATGATTTTTAATATGGACAGATATAATTAAAAAGAAATTAAGCCTTGGTTAACCATAATTCAAAGAAAAGCTAGTCGTTTTTTATTCAATAACACGGTATTCCGCCTTGTTTTGGTATTGAGTCCGTTTTTTTTTTAATTTTGGCGCTCACATGAGGCTATTTAAAGATTGAACAGCTGCGTTTTGTTAGTAAGTTTGTAATTTCTTGTCATATACTTGGCTGCTAGCTACATGCCACAGTTCCAGCTCTCGACTTCATTTGTTGAGCTGGCATAATTGGATGACGCCGCATACCTCTGATGCCAGAATGAAGGGTTCGAGTAGCTACTCCTTCCCGATTGGGCGTCACATTTTTTATCGTATGAGTCAAAACAGACATAGCTCGTCAGCTTTTGCTTCCATCTCTTTGACTACGTTCACATTCCATTTGATTTTTCTCGATATTTAATCATAGGAGGTTCCAATTCCTTTTTCGAAAGCCAGTGCGGGTAAATTTTTCAGCACCAAAACAAGCTCGTATTTTTTGTACTCCTCTTTATCCCGATCTGTTCGTTTTTTTTCTGATGTAGTTTTTGGAAAGATGAAAGAAACATCCAAACAACTTTGACTCAGAGAAACATGGGGTGGGGTCGTTAGGTAAAATACCGCGTGTACCTGAACCGTGACAATGACAATAAATGTGAAAATAATTGTTCCAACGAGGAAATAGTGTTGTTTGGTATTCGAATTGCATTGGCTTGTTTAAATTTTTGTTGATCCTTTTTAGTGGTATTAAAATTGATTCCTAATCAGTTTTTGCACCGGTCAATTTTCTTCCTGTTAACATGTATTTTATTACCTTTCTTGCTCTTCGCTCGCGGCTTTGTGTTGTCTAGCATTAATAAGCTAGAATCAGATTTGCGAGTGAACTACTGTGCTTGCTAATAACATTACCTATCATTATTTCCATTTTGGGTTGGGTGCTTTGCTTGCCTAAATATATACCCCTTCCTACTTACTGCCTTTCGTTTTATTCCCCAATTTTGTCAGCGGTGGCTCTAGTTAGTTTGCTGATATTGTACTTCTACTGTTTACTAGCTTTTTTTTTTATTTTTAACTTACCTGTAATTGATTGTCGTTGGAATATTAGCATAAAAATTTAATTTGCAAAGCTCGGCTTGGCCTTTGAGTTGGATAAATTCTGCTCTTTTTATTGAAAGTATATGCCAAATCAGATTTTTTTTTCATTTATTTCTCGAATCTTTGAATCGAATTCCTCTGCATATTTTTATACTTGCTACTGGCCAGTTTTCAAGTGTATAACTTAATTTTAGATTTAGGACTTGGCTGCTTAATCAAAAGTTAACCACGTGACTGTTTATTGAGTAAATGAATCGAGTACGTTTTTATTGTTGGTAAGTTCACACGGCCAATTTCGGTCTGAAATTAAGATGCCGGTTTTTGCTTTGTCATGATTAATCATGAGTTTTATTAAAATTCTTTTATTTGGCCTTGTCTTTTACAAGAAGGGTTTTACGAACGAGGATTACATTTAGCTTAATCCAATATTAAGACGGTTTTTTGAAGATTTGGACTAAGTTAAAACATCCCCCAAAGCCGTTTAAGGGGATCTTAGCTTGGTTCTGAACTCCAATTTTCAGCCAATCAGAATAGAACACTTTACAAGCAGCGCTTAGAAAATTTGATTTCAATTGAACGCTGGGGTAGAAGATCGTCTATTTGGGAGGAGGATGTTAGCTTGATCCGAAGATTGTTGTAGAATCATTTTCAGTATAAAATTTCAGACGAAATAGCGAAATTTATCGTACGACGAAAAAATGATGAATATAAAGAATAAATATGATTATTTATTATGATAAATATAGTCCAACTTTGATCAGTTATTTGTCTAAGAAAGGCAATAAAAAACCTTATTTCGAATTTTGATAGTATAACTCTTTTTTTGGAAATATATCGTCTTGTGTATAGTTGTCTCTTTGCTTTGTATATCGCATATTTTGCCCCTCTTCTGCAGAGTTAAAAGAAGAAGAAAATGGAGCTTGTTTTGTTCAATCTGAGATGGATCGAAGTCGCGTGAATAGATTGAAATTGAAGGGAAGGAAGGGACGTAATTTTGGCAAAACTGTACTAACTAAAGGCGTCAATACATTCCACTCGCAATGTTGCGGTGGCGGCGGAGAAATGCAATCAGAATGGCCTCTTTAATCCATCTTTTTGCGTCAGTCAACCCCAACACAACCCAACCGCAGTTTGTATTTTTATTCCCTAATTCAACCCACTTTAAAGACTGGAGAATTAATCACAAGTCAGAAGTAAAGTAGAGTTAGATAGATTGAATTCATCGCATGTGAGAGGAGGCAGGAAGCTTGTTTAATTGATAATATTTCCCTTTTTTACTTGTCCCTGATTCCCATCTTCCATTCCACTTGTAATTTGAGCAGGCAAAGCTATCTTAGAACCACTTTTAGACAAATCAAACACAAATTTAAGCTCAATTTTTTCCCATATAATTTTTCAAATGCATTTGTTTTCGAGCACATTTAGCTCAATGGTGCTTAAATGCTATTTTTTAACAGAAATATATTTGAAATTTAAACGACATTGAATGTTTGATTGATTTTACTTGAAGGATTTTTTCAGATAGTTTTTGGTTTGGTTGCCGTTACATGTTCCATTTGTTATGCATCATTCTGTTTCTTGTTCTTCAGTATACGAAATATAACCGCAATTCTTCAACTCAACGCAATTCAATGTCAAACTATTGTGGCCAATTGAAAGCAATTAGTCTCAAATTTCAAATTACAAATACTATAGCTCGCAACTCGAGTTCATCTGTGTGACTGCAATTCGGAAAAAGACGACTCGGTTCGGAGACGATTGAAAAGTTTTCAATGAATCGCAGTATGCTCTTACTTGCTCATCGAAAAGCGACCTTCCCGCAAGTTTACTATCAAAAAGAGTTCACAACTATCATAAATTGGAAAACTTGATCTTGAAAATCGCGATCCTTTATAAATCGGACCAGATATACGAGATGTCGTTTTGTAATGTTGACAGAATAAATAGTAGCTTATAGTTACTTCAACCGCTCGGAAAATTCTACCCTGTTTCTTTTAAATCGGTTATTCAGACCAATACTGTTATTCTAGAAGTATTGTTTGATTCTCATCCGATCTCATTTTAGTCAGACGTTTGAGCCAATCTGCAAAGATACTGAGTGCACGACTATCTATACATTCATGATCGTCACTCGGTGTGTCCATTATTAGTTAGCAGTCATTATATTCTCTAAACTATTAAGAATACCTGAATGGATTTAGTGTTAGTCAAATGGCCTCTCAATTGATTGATCGAAACTGTTTGAAATTTCATGATATCAGTGTCACAATATCTTCATAGAGCGACCCCATTTAAGAGATAATCATTTTTGTTCAGCGACAGTTGTTACCTCTGCTGTCTTGAATGAGTGGGCAAATAGTTCACAAAGTTAAATTATCTTTTGTTAGAAGTTAACGACCGCCGCAGCGATTTATTGGTGCCAAAATTTTAAAGAAATTTTCCTTAGTCATTTTGCCTAAATTGAGCAAAAAAATTTGCCTAAATTCTTACAAAGAATTGAGCTATACATAAGTTTCTAACTGGGTTACTATGATTCCGGGTACTTCGATGCACCCCCATGTGGGCGGGGGAGGAGCTGCGAATGGAGGCCAGGGTGGGGGTCATTTGCCGAATCAGTTGTCGGTAGTGACGACTGTTAACTACGGGACGCACCACCCGAGTCAAATGGGTCCAAATCATAACATGGATCATTCGGCCCAGTCTCAGCTAATGGTTAGTTAGACAGCAACGAAGCTGCTCATTAGAATTTTAAAATCAAGTTGAAATTTACAAATAAGCGTAGAAAAAGCCCATAAATGAACAAGGATAACAGTAGGCATGTTTCAAAGTGGTGAGATAAAATGAACTGAACACGATGAATATTTGTGGTACCTCATTAGCGTGGAAAACAAAAAAGAAACAAAACTAATACACACCCGAATACAAGTTCCTCCCCTTTTTCAATGGTCGGAACTACAAGCAGCGCGTGAGCGTAAATTTTGTGTCATTAAATGAGAAAGTTTTTTTTTTGATAAAGAAAGATTGAACGGAGGCTCTCTGTAAGTATTGCAGATTGTTCGGCACCAGAGTAATCGTAGGGAAGATGTTATAATTTTGCATGATTTTAAGTTTGAAAAAAAAAAACATTTTTGAGCTATTGTCTTTTACAGCAGAATTATTACAATGGCAGTCAATACTTGGCATCTAAACCTGGAGCAGGCTACATGCAACAAGGACATCAAGCAGGACCCAATGGAAATGCCACAGCTCCGGGGATGAATACAGGTGCTACATTCCAATCAACTGGTGGATCCCCCATCCAGCAGATGAAAATGGCGGCGAACAGTGCCGGACCCCCTCCGAACATGACAGTAGGCATGAATGGAAACATCGGAGGAGGTCCCCCTATAAACACGGGGGCTATGGGAGGAGGAGTGCCAATGCAACACATGCAAGCAGTAGCCTCAAACCCACACCACGCAGCCAATCAGCAGTACTTACAGAGCCGAATGGGCGATTCAAGAGCGAGTTTGATGTATCAGCAAGGAAACCATCCCGCAGCAGCTTCAGGGGTAGCGCCCGGTCATTTCGCGCACCACGCGGGTGCACCGGGGGTTGGCGTCTCTGGGACGACGCCGAGTGCGGGAGGAGGGCATTATAATAGTATGATGATGATGGGAGGGGGCCCAACTCAAGGTCATCAGGGGACGTCTCAGCATACAGGAAATGATTTTTCAGGGCAAGGTAATCAAAGATGTGAGATTTTTTGCCATTATCAAGTACTGACAGAGGAGAGTTTCGCCAGTGCTTTTCGAATTAGTTCTAGAATACGCTAATCATTTTTCATTATTCCAGTTTTTGTGTTAGTTCTTGGACTCTTGGTGCCCTCAGCATTTTATTGGTAGCCCTTGCGTGAAAAATTTATTACTTAGGTGGCCATAATTTTTATTTGATTGAAGCTCTTCAACTGATGCGAGAAAAGAATCTATAGTTTTTTGTAGGGAAGTGCTGTCGAGAATATTTCTGTGCTTATCGAATAATTGCTACCTTGCAGTGCGTATGAATACTTAAGTAATGTCAATTTTAGGGGGCCTTAATGGAAAGAACTGGTGGATCTCAACCATCTACCAATAAAAAATTCACCTCAACCATCTACCAGAAATGAACTGCAACCAAATTTGTCGCCCTTTTGTTCTTTTCATGCTTAATTAAAATAAGACCATGTTCTGTGCACGACAGATTTTTATCAGCTTTAAAAAAGAGTTATTTTGATTCTGCTGATCGAGAGTAGCGTAACAAACGAGTCTAGACAGACAGTCACTCATATACTTACACGAGAATTTTATAAGATATCATATAGTATGTTTTGAAAATAAGTTATTTTTCGCTAAGAATGTAAAGAAGTTTTCATGTTTTTAAAATGACCAAAGCCATGAAAATATCTTTTTCATTTGAATTTTTAGTAAGATGAGCTTGAGAAATCTATTTTAGGGGATTCATTAAATCTTTTCGTTTGTTAGGTATGATCTTGAACTAAAAAACGATTTTGTTCATTTTTGAAGTAATAAGTGTATAAAACGATGAGGCAAATTAGATTTATATTTGAAAATTAATCCTCAGTCTTACGGAGGTAAGTTTATTTAACACATATTGCATCAAAATAAGTTCGCCATGTTTTTTATAGCGAACGTTTTTGCAATTCAGATCAGTTGGTGTAATAAACCGCAGGGTGAGATATGGCTGGCATTTTTGAAGTTAATTTTGATTCAGGTTTCAACCAAACTCAAGGAGACTTCATGATGTCATCCAACGAATACATGGCTTCAAATGGTACACAGCAGCAAAGTGCATCACAGCAATATGCAATGTCAGCAAACTCAGCATCACATCACAATCAAGCTAACTCCATGCACCCCGGACACCACTCAAATTCTGGACATTCTGCGAACCCCCTTCATCAACAAATGGGGGGACCACAGGGCAACGCTCATGTGTCTGCTCTTCACCCTGGAGCTCAAGCGCATCATCCGGGGGTTCATCAAACGGGTTCGGGTCAGCTACAAAATATGGCCGCAGCAGTAGCAGCTGCAACAGCTACCGCTACAGCCACGGCGACCGCCACTGCAGCACTGCACGAGAACCAAGAGATGTTCGGAGGTCCTGGACCCGATATGACACCACACTACAACGGATACGGTTACACGACAAACAGCAACCATTCGGGTCAACATTCGGGACCCATGACTGGCGGCTATTATGGCTCGAATGCGGTGGCATCCGGAGGCATCATGAACCCCCCTGTATCGTCGGTAATGATGAACGGACCCCCGCATCATATAAGGATGCCGCATCCCCACGCGCAACATCCGGCAATGAGAGGCGCCACACCGCATCAGTACATGAATGGAATGGGAATGTCGATGGGTGCGGGCGGGAGCTACATGATGGCAGGACCCCCGAAGACATTTTCCAACATGCAGCAGCAGTCTATGTTCAAGGTAAGAAGAAGATGGTCTCAAATCTAAATGAGCGAAATAACTTGCACGGTTTGAACAGTTGATTACATCCAAGATTTTTATTTTTTAGATATCGAGTAACACTGGCTACCCTCCTATGCAGCAACCCCTACCTGCTCCTAATCAAATGCCCCCCGGTGGAATGAAGCATGCTGCAATGGCTGCCCAGTTCCAACAACAGCGTCAGTTAGCCCTTCAGAGACAGAACTCCGCAAACCAGCAACTCATGCATCCTGCAATGACTCCTGCAGGCTGTCCGCCTACACCTAGTGCAGTCTATTCAGGAATGAGTCATCAAGCCAAAGCGGCAGCCGCGGCCTCGATGTTTCCAAACACATCAAGCTACGTGGGTTCTTCTCACGGATACACCGCCTCTCAAATGATGGCAGCTTCTCAAAGCCAATCGGCTGCAATGTTACAGCAGCAGCAACAACAACAAGTAGTAAACATGCAACTTCATCACCATCACCAACAACAACAGCAAGCTATCAGACCTCAAGCACAGTCGCCGCATTTCTTATCGGCCAATCATCAGAGTCCCAGCAACACTAGGACATCTTTTAATTACCCGAGCCAACATAGTCCGGCAATGGTAACGCCTGGTGGTTCCCAAAACATAAGTTCACCAGCCAGTGTTACGGTCATTGAGCCAAATCAATCTCCAGCCGCCGTTAATTCCTCGGATATTAGCTGGCACCATAACACCAACGGTATCCCGCCTAAGCATGATGGAGCCTCGCTAAAGAATCTAGATCGAATTGCGACGCCACCTAAAAACGAAGAGCTAAGACTGATGTTTCCACAAGAGAAGCAAATTCTAATAGAACCATTCCAAATTGACCACGAAAAGGGAAGAATCACACGCACGTTTTTCATCAATGAGACGATGGGAAACAAATTGAAAAACGTCCAATCTGGAGCCTCGATTGACATTCTTTTGAAAGCGAACAGTAAGAAAGACGAGCACAATGTGCAAATACCGGAGTTTGCGACAATATTTCTGAACGGAACCCAGTTACAAGGCTGCAATACAACCTCTCAAGGCAGTGGGATCACGAAACCGTTCTTGCTTCCGAAAGGGCTGATAGCGATCGGCAATAACGATCTAACAATCACTACCTCCCAATGCTGCTGTGTAAGCTACGATTGATCGCAACTCAATTTAAAAGTCACTAAATTAACAGTTTTAGCTGGTCGAAAAAAAAGGCGCCATATTAGCTTAGATAACAATCAAATACAAAAAAAACCCACCCAAAATTAGTAATCGGACAAAAATTAAGTTTGAAGAATTTAATCTGAGTAGTTTATATCATGACAGATGGTAACAAATAGATTTTTAAATGATTGACGAAGAAGCAAACGTTTCATTTGGCGGTTTTCTGATATATCTTCATTTTAAAGTTGCTTTTTTATTTTTGCCATCCAAAGGGATACGAAAGAGTTTCGCACGACTTCTTGGTCACCCGGGGAACACAAAGTTTTTTGTTTCAGTTGTTCTCGTTTGAGTTGAGATACGTGCACAGGCCGACTGTAGCAGAGGCTCTCAAAACCCTCATTGCAAAACGAAAGCTAGACTGCGATAGAGCGATAGAAAAAGTAAAGAGTATGTTCCGAAAGAAACCCAAGTCGGAAAAGCGACAGCCGGGAGGAGCTGATTTTTGCTCATCAACCGGAGGCGTTGGAGGAGGGAACTCCTGGACGGACCAGAACCAGGATGCGGACAGTAGTCCGGAGTGCTTGGACCATTCGGTGCCTCTCACTTGTCCCATTACGAGGCAGTTGATAAGGTATTATTGCAAGAATTTGAAAATTTAAACAGATTAAGCCGAAAGCTGCAAACGTTCTCCGAATGTATTTATTATTTTTTTTTTTTTTGCAAATTTAAGTGAAAGAAACGGTCTCCAATGCACGGACTGAATAACTTAAGTAGTTCTTCTCTTTTCGTTTCAGGTATCCAGCCAGAGGTGCCCAGTGTGACCACATCCAGTGTTTCGACCTGGAGAGCTACTTGAGGGCCAACTCGGACAGACTGACGTGGAAGTGTCCCATCTGCAGACAGCCAGCACTCATAGAACACGTCATTGTGGACGAGTACCTGGAGAACATCCTCAACCAAATCAGAGAGTGAGTTGAGCTGAGCATCGCTTGGAGTCTTTTTTGTTATACGGCAGAGCCGACAATTAGAATACACTCCTTCCACAATATCATCATTTACATCTTAATTCATTTCATATAGATAGATTCAACGATTGATTGAGCCACCTAAAATGAACTAATATCGTAGAATTTTGAGATGAAGATCGACTTGGCGCCTAATCTCATGACAGAAGGTTTAAATGACCGAAAAATTTCAACCAATCAACTAGTCTTTATTGTCACCAAATTTATTGCGCTAGACTTTTACTTGAGCTGAATGTTAAAATATGAATCCAGATTTTAGAATCCGTCAGCGTGCTAATCTTGGTCAAAAGTTACGCGTATGCTGTTTAAATTGCTCATAAAATATTTGAAGCTGGTTTTCCTCCTAAAGATGGCTAAGAATATTCCGAGTTGATGTGTTTTTTTTTCAGCACCGACATCCGAGAAGTGAGAATAGACTGTAACGCAGACTGGAAACCAATCGGAGGAGGAGGCGTGAATGAAGAGCTCCTCAAACCGAACCCCTCATCTATTTCCAATCCCACAACTGCTGCTTCTGTCAGCAATGTAAAGACAGAGCCGGGAAACGCCCCTAGTCAAGGTGGGATACTTCAATCGGTTGCAATTATCAATTGATTAATGGAAGCAGTTTGCAAGTCGGCCTCTCCGTCGTGACGCTGGGGGTACTATCATGGCCCTTTTTCGCAAACTAGAAAAATTAATCAGGCCAGAACAGTGTTTCTGCGCAAGATTCTATGTAGCTCTTATGTTGGCCTTTTCTCGTGAATGAGTTTTTGTAAATGTGTTTCACAATCAAAACTACAGTCACGGGACATAGAAGTTGCAAATTTTAGTTTTCAAGTGATGAAATGAACGAATTTTATTTTCACATGATTCATGATTGAAAATTTGACAGATGATGGATGAAACTTTTTAATTGAATTTATCCGTGCAAACGCCGTAAACAATTATTTTCAAAGCGTTGCTGGGGAATTTAATTAGAGTGCGTCGAGAGGTGTTCTTACTGCCAAGAATTTTCCGTAAAGAGTAAAAGTCGTTTGAAATTTACACTCAAAGTATCCGTTGGAAAACTAAAGATATAAACTAGGACCTCATATTGGTTTCAAATTAGAAAAAAAGAACTAAACATTTTGTTAAGCTCTAAGTGAGAAGTTGACCGAAACTTCGGCTATTTATTTCGTTAAATATCAAAATTTGATTAATTTTTTTTCGTCGTTTTATTTCGTAGTTTGAACCTATAAGAGCCTAGCTTGGATCCTTGACTTTCCAACGAAAGCTGAAAAACTTAATCAGGCCTGGGCAGTGATTGTGCAGAAAATTTGGTTCTGTCAGGACATTAGTCCTGCCAATCATAAATTATTCAGTAAATTCAAAGAGCTTTAAGAAGCGCATGTATTTCTTTCTTTGAAATTCGAAAGTGAGATTTTTCAAAAACAAGTCAGTATTTTTCTTTACTTGCGTTCATTGACTCTTCCAACTGTCTGTTGGCTATATTCTAAATCTATTCCACAATCAAAAGTACAGTCACAGGACATAGAAGTCGCACCGTTTTGTTTTCAAGTGATGAATTGAACGAATTTTTTTTTTCACGTTTCTGCCGTTTTCTCTAAAACTACAACAGATTCTTGGTTGAACTTTCGACATACGACAAATGAAACTGTTTATTAGAATAAAAGCGGCTAAAAAACCAACCGTAAAATATTTTCAAGGAGTTTTTTTGCCATTTAACTAGAGGGCATCAGAGAAATCTCCTTTAGTCACAAATTATTTCCGTAAACAGCAGAAGTAGTTTGAAATTTTAGACTTATAAGTATTCGTTGGAAAGTTTAGGATCTAAGACAGGCTCTCATGTAGGTTTAAATGTATATAAAATTTGATACAAAAAAAACTACTGAACTACGAAATAAAAATTAAATCAAACTTTGATATTGTACCAAATAATAGCTGAAATCATAACAGCTGAAAGTTCTTTTTTCTCTTCTTTGAAACCTATATGAGGGCCTATTTTAGATCTTTAGCTTTCAAGCGAATACTACTAAGTACAAAATTTTAAATGAATTCTGTTTACGGGGAATTTTTAGCACTAAGAACACCCCTCTGACGCGCTCTAGTAAAATGCCAGAAGAAAACGGCAGAAACTTGAAAAAACTTTTGTTCAATTCATACATCACTTGAAAACTTAAAATTGAACTTCTTTGTTCCCTGACTGTGTATCAGTCTCAGTGCCTGATCATCAATTTCTCAAATTAATCGGAGTCATTAAGTTTGCTCTAATACAAACAAAATCGCATTTGTTTCCAGTAAAAGGTTTGTTCGCATTGTCAGATCGGAATGAAATTTTACATCAGGACTTATTCACATAATCGAAACAAATTTGCTTGGCATCAATAACCTAGTAAAACCACTAGCTACAGAGTAAAATTGAGGTTTGGGGTCAGTCAACATGATCCCTCAAGTTGATGGGTTGATGCGAATTTCATTGTTTTAGGTCACCAGCAGAATAACATCAAGCAGGAGGTGAAAAATGAACCCAATGTGAAAGTGGAGACGGGCGGCGGCAGTTTTACGCCATCCTTCTTTGGCACTGCAAGTGGACAGAATGTTCCGACAAGCTATGCAGATAACAAATACTTGAATCCTCCGCCGATCAAAGGTAATTACTTGTTAAAGTCTAAAGTTCCTCTCCGACGCGGATCAAGTTCCGTGAATTATTTCATGTCGAAACACACACCTGATAAGGCCTGAAGCTTTGTAGTCAGGTGACGTGCATTGCCTATATTCAGCAATAAGACAGCCTATGTGTATATGCAGAGTTATTGGTAAGCGCCTTTAGTTTTGGATACAAATGTTTTAATATTTGTTCTGCGTACTTTTCACGATCATCATCAAATAATTTTACGCAAGCATATAAATGAATTCGACGGAGTATTTTTCAGTTTCTGCACGGCTTCTTTTGCGAAAAATGTTTCCATGTTTTTTTCTGTAAATTCTTTGTCTAAGCCTTTTTAAATTTGGATAATTTTGCTGCGCTCTCAAATGTGTAGGCAGAATTGTGTAATGTTAGTGTGATTGTGACTGTTGTAGCAGTGTGTTCTGGGGCTGAAGTGGCAAGTTCAGTAGTGGACAGTCACTGGTCAGCGGACATGGTGGCCATACATTCGGCCATAAATCCAGCTGCTACTGCTGCGGCCTCTCAACAGCAACATTCGCAGAATCAGCAGCTACTATCGTCGGCATCAGGAGTTGTGTCGTCAATGACCTCATCCAACTCAAGCATGACCTCAGCCAGCTCAAATGTCAATACATCACCCGTGAGTAGATTGAATCAAAATAGTGATTTGACCACAAAGGTCTCAGCCTCTCAATCTAAAGGTCGATGGTTCAAGACCCAAAATGATCCGTGCTTGTTGATTGAGGCTGTTCCAGACCAGAACAAAATCTAATTTTGCCTCTAGGTCTAAGTCAGAGATAGGACAGCTGTTTTGATCTGGATATTTTGTATGTTGAGAATTTCACTGAAGAATAAATGATCTTACATTACAGCATTTGCCCTGCTTTGTTGCCCTGCTGATTTTGAATTTATTTTGGGGGAGGGCGGATTTTGTCGACCTTTTTTTTAGGTCGACCAAATTGATTTTGTGAAGCTCTCCGAAACCACTATAGAGATCCAAATGTGATAAATTTTCTGCGCTGCAGGCAAATTTTTGAAAAAAGGCGTTTTTAGGCACTTTGTTGGAATTATTCGACTAAAAAATCGCGTTTTTTCGGCGCGTGCTCCCCCCTCAAAATTAGTATATATTGGCGCCCAAGGTGCCTTAAAATTTTTTTAGCGTGCGTCACTAAAAATGGATATCACAAAATAGTACAAAGGGGTGACTCTTTGGGTCGGCTGGGAGTCAAATCCCTGAGGGGGGCGTCCGCCCCCCCCCCCTAAATTCGCTACTGGTTTCTTGAACCTAATGCATTCTGTGTAGATAAACCCTAGTCACCTTCTTCACACGTCTTATGGTACGACTGCAACAGTATCGAACGGCAACGACCACACACAACATAACACATCATCTTCCTCAAACAAGCGAAAACATCCCTCAAGTGAAGACTCAATGAGCCAAATTGAAACAACCGGATCAAAACCAGCTTTATCCAGTATTAATATCCAAACCAACGACGACCTATCTTCTTTGAATCCTCCGGCTGCCAAAATAGCAAACCTAACCAACGATAATAGTTTAACTAACGGTTCCTTAGATTCCTCAGCTTTCGATTCTTCGTTTGATCCTATGTCGTTTTTCGGCGACGACAACCTTCTTGGAGATTCCTTTGGACCTACTGACGACAATTCGGTGAATACCAGTAATATATTTGACTCACTCCTTGGAGGAACCGTATCGTCGCTGGCTACTGATCAGGACCAAACTGGATCCCTGGGCCTAGGAGGAGGTCAAAAAGAAAACACTGACATGGGATTGGGATCCGGGTCGAGACAAAATCGAAACCAGTCAGATGTGTTGGCATCTTCCGGACAACATAACCAAACAGCAGATGGTTCTTCTGCCGATGTGCAAGCACAGGGTGGTAATCCTGTGGACGATTTCGAACTGGACCAACTTTTGGATCAGAACTCGAACACCGATTTTACGGTCAGTTTTACACAAGTCCTGTCTAAAAGCTAACTTATCAACCAACTTTTCGTACTAAGTGTGGGCTTCTTATGTTTTGAAATATTAAAAAGTCAACCAGTCATTGTTGCCTGGCAGTTATGTTCTGAATCATTTTAAACCACCATTTCTCCTTACGATAGTGATTGAATTAGTATTGAATAGTATTATGTGGTGTACATTTGTTGTTGGATTGAGTAATGCTGATTTGTTGGTTGATTTCAGTTTTATGACGACTTCGGAGACATCGATTCCCTGGTGGCGGACTACCTGCCAGGCGGCGACCAATCAAATCTCTCCTCTCATCAGACGCATCAACAGTCACATAATATAGAAAATGCATTCCCCAAATCGTCCGCCGATGTGTTGCATGTTAAGGAATCCTTGCTCCCCAACAAACTCGGCTCGGGCGAAGATGGCGGAGCTGTAAGCGGGCTAGAAGACTCGGATAACGAGACGAACCCGGCTACCAACGAGCCTCCCGATGATCTGCTCCAAATCCTAAATATGTGAAGAAAGCAAAAAACAAACATTACAAAAAAAAACAACTCTGTTATCATCTCTTAATTTAAACCAAATAAACATCTCATTTTAGGTGAATAGTATGTTCTTTCTCTGGTAAAATAGAAATATGAATCTTTTCTAGGTGGTAAACCATAGTAGGGCTTATTTTGATGATCTGATAATTTTATTTTTGTCAAATTTATAGTCATAAACTATTTTGCTCAATCAAGGCAGTAAGTTTTATTATTTTATTTTCGTTAATTTGCTAGTAGTTGTTCGAATCAAAGTTATTTATTTTAAAGTGTAAATAGCTTATAGGTGCAATTTTTTTTTGTAATAATTAGTTATTTTGTTCTTCTTTTTATTATTGCATCCGTATGTTTCCAGCTGAAAGATTTTCCATCCGAAGTCAAACAAAAAGTAATTCATCTAGTTTTATGATTATGACTCTGTATATAATTAATTTAATTTAGGTTGAATTTATTTTTGGAATTTTCCATTTCTTAAGCCGTGGCGTGTTCAGGAATTCAACGTACCTCGAAAATTAAGTAAGAGGAGGGACCGAAATTAAGTACGGGGAGGGACGGATTTAAGATTGAGTGCGTACTGATGTAAACTAGCCATTGTCAGAATATGGTAGTCTGGTATTTTTCGATTTCTCTAAAAATAATGACGAGCAGACAACCTTCCTTTCATGCTTGTCAGTAAGCAGACAAATTCAACATCATCAAATCTGATCAGATGGGCTAACACAGGCTTTGAAGTGTCGTTTTCAAAATTGTGATCAAACCTAAACTATAAAAAATGAGTTAATTTTAAAAATATTTTGATGCTACCACAAACTACAATTTTAGTTTGAATACATTGCTATAAAACTAATTATCTAAATAATGCAAAAACTAACGCAATATCAAAAAGGCGTTACATAAATTGTCTTTTCTTTTAAAAATATCATTCGTGTGTTCTAGGAGTCAAGCTTAGCTATTTTCTGCTGAGCCAGGTTATCGTGCCTTGCTTCTAGAGAAAAATCGCAGTGAAGAAAAGCGATTTCATGATTCTCTTCTTTAGCATATTTTGTTTGCAAGCAAAAATTAAGTTAACTTATATTCTACGTTACAAGAAGTTGCTGTCGCGACTTTCTGTTTCGCCATTAATCTTAGATGTTTCTGTTCGACAAGTAAATAACTGGAATTAATATTTTTTTTCAACGACAGCTTGCCTTTTATATGTTTTCTCCACTCAATGCAATGTTGTGAAAACTTCAAATTAAACACATCAAATCTTGGTAAAAAAAAGGAAAAAAATGAACCCAAACTCGCAACCATTGGTAATTGCACTTCAGCATTCTAAAAAGCGCCACAATTGAAATTTAAAAAATTCCTTTATTTGCTTTTCGAGTACTTAGCATCAATCAAAATGCAACCAAAGAACAAGAATGTACTCTGCGGCGTAGTTAAAATTGCCGTGACTAAAAACATCAACTTAGTGTCCTTTCTGAAGGACTCGCTAAGAATTTTTGAACTATTACTTGCGATCTAAAACTTGAGATAGTAAACAAGGTCGATATGCCTTGAGTTTTTTTGCCAATATTTATGAAGAAATGATCAGTTCAAATGATTTTTCCTACGAAAACCTGTAATCAGCGCAGTTTTCCAAAAAACACTGATTTCGTGGGAAAAATATCACCCTATTAGGATGACTAACAGATTGCGGACAAAAATTGGAGTTGCCACACTCGTTTCTAAAACTTTAGGAGTTGCTTGAGGAGAAGAAAAATTATAAATATTAAATACAAACAATTGAAATCAAAATTGATAAAAATCACCCTGAATTTGATACAAAAGTAGAGTGTACTTACAACACTATACAAAGCACCACAAGTTAAATCAGAACAATTCCTTTGTTTGCTTGTCGAGTACTTACTATCAATCAAATTGCAACCAAAAACACGAATATACTCTGCGGCGGTTATAACGTTAACTTGACAAAAACAACAAGGTAGTGTCCTGTCTGAAGAACACTCTAAGAACATTTGATCTACAACTTGTTAAAATTTTTTTATCAGAGCAGTGAAGAAACAATCAAAATTTGGAATAAATAATTAAAACGTTTAAAAAACGATAATTATTTACTGAGAGCAAAGTATTGGTTATGGGATATTTTTACAAAAATTAGGCAGAATAATTTACAATATCATATAAACAAGAATGACAACTAAAATCTCTTGGTTGCAAGCATAGCAGAGTGTTTGGACAAATACATTCCAAAAACCCAGAAAAAATGTTCTGACTGGAAAATGAGGGGCCTCAAATCTAGTAAAAAAGCTTGTAACAACTAAAAGAGTAATAACTGGCGCTATAAAGATAATCCTGCCGCAGAAAATGAAATAGTTCTTGCAAAAATAAAAGATCATGTTAAACAAGTTTGTCGCAAACCCAAAGCAACACACTATCAGAATTGATTACAATCAAACTCAAAAAATAACATGCAAAAAAGTTACAGTGTAATTAATGAAATGAAAAGCAAAACATTTAGCAAACTAGAAAGAAATATCCGTCACCTGATGACTTTAATTCCAATTTTTATCAATTGGTGAAAACTTAACATAAAAGCACAACTGTTTGCAAATTTAACCAAAATAAATGAAAGTGAAAGCGTGTCTGTGGAAACAATTAATGCGAGAAGGAAATTTGCTGTATAATCAGGGGATTCAAAGACAATCATAGACAAAACACCCACCAGCAAAGCAATTTTCTCATCTGAAAAAACGGATCCCCTTTTTGCGAATGGATATCAATCCTCATCAAAAATAACTGTCTGAGGCATTTTCCTTAGATGCTTAAAAATTTAAGAAGTTCAACCCGTTCGCAAAAGTGGACCATAGACAGCTAAGCAACTATAGAGCAATAGTTTTAATTCCAACTCTTGCAAAAATTTTGAAACAGTTTTGTGTAAACGAATGATTAGTTTTTTTTTTATAAAAACAGTAAATTCTAGTTGACGAACAGTTTGATTAGGCAATAAACGGGGCGCAGTTGAAGCAATCAGTTAATTATTTGAATGTATTAGGCGTTTTCAAGCAAAAAAATTTACAATGAATTGTACAATGCTAGATCTTTCAAAAGCTTTTGACACAGTTGACAATGGATTTCTGGTTAAGAAATGAAGACAAAATGAATTAAGGGTGAGCACTGAAAAAATTATATCAACGTGTCTTAAAAATTGATTTCAACATGTAGGAGTAGAAGAGAGCATGGTTTCGAGTTCAAAACTTTTCTCCTATGGAGTTACACAAGGAGCCCCTTATTTTTCTAGTCTATATTAACGGTCTCCTAAATTTTTTTGTGAGTCAAAAAGAACCCTCTGTGCCAATATTTGTAATTTAGGTTCTACAACAAAAATTAGAAGTAGACGCAAAAGCGGATGCTTTAGAAGTTGTCAAACTTGGCTGACTGGAAAAAAATTAACTTACAACCAAGATAGAAAAATTATTTTTAAAAATTATCGACTCAGGGAAAGGCATTTGTTTCAATTAAGATTGAGTCAAAAAAGAAGTGAACCACGAAACTGCTCAGAATCCTCTAATAGACCAATGTGAACATTCTCAATGCGCGTGCTCACACAAATTGGCGAGTTGGTGAAAAGCGGGTCTAAAATCAAACGTGAAGTGAAAATTTAAATTAGAAAAAATAAATGAAAATTTAATCTAAAAAACTTTTTATAAACAATGTTGTATTTGCAACTCGGGGTTCAATTTTTTGCTAGTCAAATTTTTCAGCTTAAGGTTGTGAAAACTGCTTTCAAAAATTGTCAACACATTTGCATTGGCTTAAACAGTAAGCAGACAAATTCAACATCATCAAATCTGATCAGATGGGCTAACACAGGCTTTGAAGTGTCGTTTTCAAAATTGTGATCAAACCTAAACTATAAAAAATGAGTTAATTTTAAAAATATTTTGATGCTACCCCAAACTACAATTTTAGTTTGAATACATTGCTAAAAAACTAACTATCTAAATAACGCAAAAACTAACGCAAAATCAAAAAAGCGTTACAAAAATTGTCTTTTCTTTTAAAAATATCATTCGTGTGTTCTAGGAGTCAAGCTTAGCTATTTTCTGCTCAGCCAGGTTATCGTGCGTTCCTTCTAGAGAAAAATCGCAGCGAAGAAAAGCGATTTCATGATTTTCTTCTTTAGCATATTTTGTCTGCAAGTAAAAATTAAGTTAACTTATATTCTACGTTACAAGAAGTTGCTGTCGCGACTTTCTGTTTTGCCATTAATCTTAGATGTTTCTGTTCGACAAGTAAATAACTGAAATTTATAATTTTTTTCAACGACAGCTTGCCTTTTATATGTTTTCTCCTTTCAATGCAATTTTATGAAAACTATTCAAATTAAACACATCAAATCTTGGTAAAAAAAGTAGAAAAAGAAAAAAATGAACCCAAACTCGCAACCATTGGTAATTGCACTTCAGCATTCTAAAAAGCACCACAATTGAAATTTAAAAAATTCTTTTACTTGCTTTTCGAGTACTTAGCATCAATCAAAATGCAACCAAAAAACAAGAATTTACTCTGCGGCGTAGTTAAAATTGCCGTGACTAAAAACATCAACTTAGTGTCCTTTCTGAAGGACTCACTAAAAATTTTTGAACTATTACTTGCGATCTAAAACTTGAGATAGTAAACAAGGTCGATATGCCTTGATTTTTTTGCCAATTTTTATGAAGAAATGATCAGTTCAAATGATTTTTCCTACGAAAACCTGTAATCAGCGCAGTTTTCCAAAAATAAACACTGTTTTCGTGGGAAAAATATCACCCTATTAGGATGACTAACAGATTGCGGACAAAAATTGGAGTTGCCACACTCGTTTCTAAAACCTTAGGAGTTGCTTGAGGAGAGGAAAAATTATAAATTGTAAATACAAACAATTGAAATCAAAATTGATAAAAATCACCCTGAATTTGATAAAACAGTAGAGTGTATTTACAACACTATACAAAGCACCACAAATTAAATCAGAACAATTCCATTGTTTGCTTGTCGAGTACTCACTATCAATCAAATTGCAACCAAAAACACGAATATACTCCGCGGCGGTTATAACGTTAACTTGACAAAAACAACAAGGTAGTGTCCTGTCTGAAGAACACTCTAAGAACAGTTGATCTACAACTTGTTAAAAATTTTTTATCAGAGCAGTGAAGAAACAATCAAAATTTGGAATAAATAATTTAAACGTTTAAAAAACGATAATTTTTTACTGAAAGCAAAGTATTGTTTATTGCATATTTTTACAAAAATTAGGCAGACTAATTTACAAGAACATATAAACAAGAATGACAACTAAAATCTCTTGGTTGCAAGCATAGCAGAGTGTTTGGACAAATACATTCCAAAAACCCAGAAAAAAATGTTCTGACTGGAAAACGAGGGGCCTCAAATCTAGTAAAAATGCTTGTAACAACTAAAAGAGTAATAACTGC